AAATTAAAAATTTTAAGTTAGTATCTTTAAGTTTTAAGAACAAGTATCATATTAGTTTTTTTTTTTTACCATATCAAAAAATTAATTATTTTACATCACAAACATTTAAATTTTAAATTTAATTTCAAATTAATATTTTTGTTGATGAACGTTGATATAGACTCCCTTTAATTTTTTTTTTTGAGCATAGGCAATTTGTTAAAATTAGGGGGGGGGGGGATGGGAAATGAAAAAGAGGTTAGTGGAATTTGAATACAACTCTTATGGTATGTTTGGGAATATGATATTTGGAGAGTGTATTTGAATTTGTTCATTTTAACTTCAATATAACAATTTGTTTTCATAAAATAAGAATGTAATTGAATTTAACTCTAATACATGTAATTACGTTTGTGTATTTCATTACTTTAAAATTCATGTATCTCAAATCCTCTTCTAACCATATGTATTTCAAATTTAGATTCATGTATTTCAATTATCCTAATTTTGATGGAGCCCAACAGTGGATGATTTCACCTCACCCACCCTTCCGTTGCTCACAATGAACCAAATCCTTGGCAGAGCAAGCTTGTATTCTCCTCTCCAGCAATGGGCACGCAACAGTCCACATGATCAACCATCACAGTAGACAACTCCTAAGGCATATTGAGCAAAGCAGAGCAGCAAATACATGCAGCTAGGGTGTCCTAGCAAGGGAAGATTAAACACTTGCGGATGGATCAACACTGGGTGTGGATAAAAAGGTGAGTCTCATTGAAAGTTTGCAACAAAAAGCCATTAAAGGGGTAGAGGAAGAGTGGGAGGTGGAGAAGATGATAGATATGCCTTGGAAGTGTTTGTAAAAATGCCTCAATCAACAACTTGAATATCAAATTCATTTTTATTATATTAATCCAAACAATAAATTTAAAAATATGTATATTTTAAAATACATGTATTTTAAATACACATATTTAAAATACATCTTCCAAATACAAATTCAAGTTCCCAAACATAACCTAAATGAATTTCATGTGAGATTAGTGGCTAAATTCCTATACATTTGGCGTGGATTTCAAACTTCTCCTTACTTAGCATTCACTTGAAATGACATGCCTTTTGGAATTTTTGCTTGACCAATATTGTACTAGTTTATACATGTATATATAAAAATTGACTATTTGATATCACATAAATTTAAGAGATTTTAAATTTAAA